TAGAAACTGCGATTGTGGATTTTGTTCCGAGAGCGAATAGATTAAATTGCGCCATGTACTGAAAACGCTAGTATTATTAAAATTATGTATTTAAGTATAGGTTCATGGATAGTCTGATAAACTTTCGCATTTTTTTTACTTCAGAAACTGCAGCATTCTGCTCCATGGCCCAAAAATTTACGCTTTTTTTTTGAAGACTGCTACAATATACATAAATACATTTTTACACATGCATACATATAAAAAACGCCCTTTCCTTATCTTGATTTTATTGCAGCATTGATGCAGTAACGCATAAACAGCGCTGAATAAAATTTCCAAAATTCCCCTCCATTTATCACTTGGAGGTAAATCGAATTACATCTAACTGCTCAAAAAAGCATCCGGATAATATTATTACATGTCGTCCCTACTGCTTTTGTGCTTTTTCAAAGACTTGTTAATAAATTTCATCCCTTTCTTCCAGTGTCAGCCTTCCATCCACCTATCCTCTTGTCTTCCAGAGTAACAAGATTTCGTTCTCTTTTACTGCTAACCGCCCCATAATTAATTTGATACCTCTACTTTCCCGGTCAGTTCATCCCTTCAGCTCTTCTCTGGTCGCAAGACTTTTTGGGCAGTCGCCCATGCCATTGTTTTCTTCCTCGCAGTATGCCTACTACGAGAAATCCAAAATGTAAGGAAAATAGCCTTGTATTTTTGGCGCTGCTGCATTACCTGTTTTCCAGGAGTTCTGGAAGCCAAGCATCAACATTCTCGGCAACCTCAAATTTTGCGTCGATCGTTTCAGCTACGAAATTTCTGCGAATCAGTGTGCTCAGGGTGTTCTCGATGCATTTCCGGGCGCCTTCTTCGGTGCCTTCCATAAGCACCAAAAATTCCGACAATAAATTGCAAAGCTGCAAATGAAATGTTTCGCGGATACAGAAGTAATACTAGTCAAACGCATAGCAATTCGGTGCTCACTTTTTCCAACGCATTGTTGCTGCTTGTGCAAAAAATTGTTTAGCACAAAGATGTACTAATACCTCGCTGTAGCCGTAGTAGCTGTTCACAAGCAAGTCGATAACGACCGCTTGTTCGCCGTTACATTTCAGAAACTGCCTTACAGTTTGTTCAGCCGATGGTTCCATTACTGAATCCGTTGCTGTAAAATGGTCAGATTTTGGACCTGGCTATTACTGATTACAATGCTTGGCTGTTAAGTGAAGAAAAGATATGCTTTAAGCTCAATTTTATACTACTTTTGACCGTATTGCATGCACATTATTCTCCGGAAATTGGCACTTTTTGCCACACAAAATTTTTGAATTATTTGACGGATTTGTTTTTTAGGCCACTGAATTTTGTCGGAATCGCCAACACTGTTCAGATAATCAGTATGCAGGTCCGATACTGTTCCAAATGTTGGTACAGCCATGCTAATGCCC